TTTTAAACATTAATATGTCATACAATATAAATGAGACATACAAATTTCGTATCAAAGGAAGGAAAATGATGCAATTTTAATTTAAAATAATTTAAAAACAGTATGTGCCTAGACATTCTAAGAAATTCCTTCTGACTTCAATACATATAAAATGTATTTGGAGATCATGGACAACTACTGTGTCAATAATGAAAGTCTACATACAACACATCCTAAGTACTGAACTCAAGCTTCAGATTTTCTTTTTTTTTTTGGTACTGGGAATCAAACTCAGGGCTTGTGCTTACCAGGCAGGTGCTCTGCCACTCAGCTACATCCCTAGCCCTCAAGCTTCAGATTGAGAAGTTCTAAAATATTACTTCTCATTTGCAAAGGTTAAAGTAACAGTATTAAGGAAATGAAACCACTTATGCATATGTATGGATGTACTTGTATTTTCAGGTTTTGTTCTAGCAATCAATTAGCTAGAACACACAAAACTTTTGGTCTTGGTTGAACAATTTTATCCATCTACATACTATTACAAAACAGGATGCATATTGAAGAGATGTAAGAATGAGTGATTCACTAAAAATATTCAAAGTTAATTATTTTAAGAACATTCTGTATAAGGCCAGTGAGTTAGTCACTTCTAATTCATACTGGACCAAAATGAAAAAACTTCCTGGATTCATTATGGATTGAAACATTTTATTTTTTTTTATTTTTTTGGTTTTTTTTCCGGTACTGGGAATACTGTCTTGCCAGGCCTGCGCTGTGCCACTGAGCTAAATCCCCAGCCCCCAGTTGAAACATTTTAAACAAATACAGAAACATATTCTCGAGAAATGCAATAAAATATACCTCATCTTTTGTCTTAATTCCAGAAACATAAGGAGTATCATATACTACAATCAAACTCCCATCCCATCAGCTTATATCCAGGTCAAGAGAAATTGTTACCAAATTCCCATTGTCACATTCTGCACTTAGGTGATACTTGATGCAGTATGATTAATTTCCTTTATCTTGTGTTTGTGGAAATAGCATCAGCCTTTGGAAACTTTTCCATAGGTCTCTTTGTCATCAATAAACAATGAGGTGTATACTGGTTTAATGATAATGATTATGGTATTCATTTTATTAACCAAATATATAAATAAGTCCTAATGATACTATTAAAAAGTACAAGCTTTCTTTTTGATCATTTATTATGTCAACTATACTTCTAACTCTCCAAAAGCTTATCTGTACATACATTTGCAGACCTGCTACACTAATAATTATAGAGCTCCACTGCAGGCAATCCTAGAGACAAGTATCTTAAATTTCTCCCCAAAGAGTGTCCTGCACTCATCATCCATTCATGGTAAAGTAGTTAATTTTAATGTTCTCATTGTTTATCAGAAAGCACAGACAGTAAGACTGGCTTTGCCACTCCCGTTTCCTTTTGCTAGGCTGCTGAGCTTTTTTAGCCAATTGACTTTGCTTTGAGGCTATAAATATCTGAAAAATGTTCTGCATTTGATGCTCTTGGATTTTGCATCCATATTTAGCTGTTTGTGGCATGCCTTTGTTTAAGCTGCTCTACCACCCATCAGATCAATTGGGTCCAGATCTAGATGGTCAAGGAGCAGATAGGTCAACATTTCAACAGACAATGATTTAACTATGAGCAAGGTACCAATCTGTTACGGTAACAATGAAAGAGGTAGCAAGATAGGAATACAAGGACAAACAAGACAGACTCCCTCACATGAAAAATTTTAGTCTGATGGGCACAACTTATAATAATACTGGAATAAAACAAATGAAATATTTTACAACTAAAAGAAAATGAAGGTCAGGCTAGCATAAATATTTTCTCTTAGCTGTGTCTCAAACATGCTCATTTGTTTATATTGATAGAGATAGAGATAAAGATGTATTATCAAAGAGCCAAACTTGTTTACACCGAAGTAAAAACAGTGCCATCTTCAAATTTTGTGAGGCAAATTAAGAAAATATTATTGCTAAAAGTTTTTGTTAACAGATTCCCAGAAGAGGGGTACACTTTTGTGGTTGGTTGTTTGCATAAAGATTCCAAAAAGAAGCATATTGCAGAGGATATGAGCTGTATAGCCAGCAGCCTTAATATAGCAACTAGTAAAACCCGGAGGAAGATTTGATATAGTCTACAAGTTGTATAAAGGTAGACCTTCCTGTCTTGTGAAAACATTCCAAGCAAATACTGTACTCTATACATCTTAACTGACATTTCTTTCAAAACTCAGTTCATTGACCTTCTGATAAAAGTGCTCCCCAAAATCCCTTGATTAAATCATAATTTAAATGCACTGCAATAAGGAACTAATCAATGACTGACTCCAAAAGTCAGGATGGAATTTTAGGCCAAATTGTAGGTAAATAATGGTACAAGCCACAAAAACAGCCAACTTTAAAGCTCAAAGGGCTCACCAATATCAATTACTCCAGATTCCACATTTCACACAGAGCCAGTGAGGTAAAATTAAAACTACTTGCCCAAAGTTAAACAATCTGTGGCAAAACCAGAATGAAAATCCAGGTATCTCAACTCCCAGTTGTATTCTCCAGCGTCCTAATTTCTGGATTTCTTTAAAACATGTTAGAGTACACTCATTCAAGACCTTAAGTTGTGTAGAAGAAAACAGATAATTAAAAAAAAAAAGAATACAGATGATTCAACACAACCAGGATCTTGAATACACAAAACACACCAGAAAGAAAAAAAAAAGATCAACAAACTAGTATTCTCAAATCCATTTTCCACATTCCAATATTTTTTACTTCAAAGATTTTCAAAAAACCATAAATTAAAAACCAGCTAAGAACACACCCAAGGGTCCTTCAGACTGTTTTGGAATATTTATACCAAACCTAAAGACAACAAAATAGCCTCCAGGATAAGCTTCCTTAGAGGAAGGAAAACTGCAGTATTAAACAGTAAATAAAACAACTCTGGTTAATTGATAGGGATGAAAAAAAGTGATGATGCCATGGAAATTCTGCAGCTTGGCAAAGAAATGTACCAAATGTGTTTGGGTGTGAATAAGTGTGTATGTATAGTACTTACTCCATATTCTACATATTATGTAGAAATTTAGAGCCAGGAAGGTAAAATTACTGCACTCACCCAAAATTAAACACCCAAGTTACAGTAAAACTAGAATGAAAATCCAAGCTCTCAACCCCCAGTTGAACGCTAAAGACAAGGTTCCAAATTTCTGGGTTTCCTTAAAACATGTTAGCTATGTGTGTATAGATATGTTATACATATAACACATCCTGCCCTGCAACAGATTACAGAATCAGTAACATATTTATACGGGTTACATGCAAACAAGAGTTAACACGAAGTCTGAAAAGCCCAGAGTTTTAGACACTAAAATATTGAATTATTATTTACTTGTACAATAACATGATCCTATCTCTAATACCATGGGGGGGGGGGAACAGTATACTAAAGAAGTCTGTAAGAATAAGAAATTGAACAGGAAAATGTAACCATAGTCTACGCTATCTCAAACTCATTTCAGATTCTCAGCAACCTTTCCTATATGCAATCAACCAAACAGGATTAGTAGACAAATGGAAAATCAGGCCCCAAAGTTTTTAACCTTATCTACTGAGAATGAACTGGGTAACCCTGCATTACTTCCCACTTCTTTGATTTAATTCTTCCAGCCCAACAGAATAATGCTGAAAAACACAAACATCCAGCAAAACACAAAATGGTCCATACATAAATTCATAAGAACTGGTTGTAAGAAGAGCTGCTGGATTTTTATGATGGAAAGAACCATTTAGAGATCATTTAATCCAATCTAACCATTTTATAAAACATTAGGGTCCAAAAGTGCCTAATTTGCCTCAAATCACTTAGCTAGTTAGTGGCACCACTGAGACAAGAACTCAGAGATCCTTTCGACAAGTGATGGACAGTGATGGGTATGAAACCAATTGAACTACTCATAAAGACAACTTTTAGGCCATGGTTACTTTTGAATGGTAAACATAAACCCTGTTGAGAAAGATGAAACCAAAACAATATAATGTTCTTGATCACCACAGACTTAGGCATGTGACTGCGGGATAACAGCTCAACTGTGTGTGGATCCTAGGTGCTTCCAATTTGCCATCTTACATTCCGCCACATTACTAATGTCTTCGTGGTCATGTGAGCTAAGTGATAAACAACTTGCCATTCCAATATTTTGGAAAGCCACAGCTAAACCCTGAATATCAGGCTATGAGTTTTCAAAACCAGTATGGTTTTAATGCTGCCACAAGTCTCACCCTAATAGAATCTCGTCATTCAGTTTTAATTAAAAAGGCAGTTAGTAGAATGCAGAGAGGGGAAGTTTTAGTGTGTTCATCACTTTTAACCTGCTGAGTAGCAATCCAGTCACTTTACAAAGAAAACCTAGAACAATGCGCAACCTAAAACAATCCACACATAGTGCAGTAAGTAGTTACCCTTGGAGCGTGAAACTCAGAAAAAGGTTACAGATAAGTCTGTTCTCACCACATAAATACTTCGCGTTTTAGTGTATTTTGCTTTTTATTTTTCTCATTAATTCGCTTCTCCTCCGCTAGGCTTTTTCATACATCTTCATTTCCAGTCTTGCCTCACTCAACAGGAGAAAGAAATGAAACTCCATTCACTTGATTTTCATAGCTTGGTCCATCACACCTTCTTGAAGATCAGTTGGCGGTTCCCCTGAAGTAATCACCCTGAAGTGATCACCTGAAAATTATGTCTGGATAGACCAACTTCACAAACTCACTGCGGGTGCCTGAAGATGTCTGTCCAAAGACTACACTGGCTCACATTTCCACCCAGGTGCTAATCTGGATAAACTTGTCAGAAATGCATCCCCAAAACAAAAGGGGATTGGGACGCTGACCCAGGATGGATGGAGACAGAATGGGCAATGAAATGCACGTCAATCCAAGCACTGACAAGAAACACCCGCCCGTAGACGGCCTGTGGTCCTTACCGTACACTCGGACCCAGCTCTGCTGCTGGCACACGGACTCAAGAAGGATCCGATCCAACATGCCACCGGCCACGGTTCCACTGACTGGGACAACCGCTTCCAGATCCTCCGGGGGCAGCGGCGAGTCGGACTCCAGCCCCGGGAACATCTCCGGCCAGGACAGCGCCTCCGCGGCTCCTCCCGACGACGGGGAGAGCTCCATGGTGCCGGGGAGGGACGAGGCGGCCGGGCGGGCGCCCTGTCTGCGGGAAGGGGAGGAGGGCGCAGCAGCGGGGACGCGGACGCCGCACACCTCCGTCCCCGCCGCCCACCGCCAAGCTGCAGCCCACCTGCGGCCAGAGGGAGGGAGCCCGACCGGGGCTGGGTCGGGGCTCAGGTGCGGTCCCTCCCGGGAGGGCACGCTCGCCCTCCCGCCCCCTCGGATCCGCCCTCCGGAGCGCCCGCCGGCGTCTCCCGCGGCCAGACCAGGCTCGCGCCGAAGAGGGCGCGGGGCCCCGCAGGGCTGGGCTTGGGGGCGTCGCCGCCAGGGGCCGCCCCCTCTGACCGGCTCCCGCCGCCGCCGCCTCGGGGACTCCAAGTGCCGGCTCCCTCCGCCTGAGGGGGGCGGTGGCCCCTGGCTTCAGCCCGCCTGTCCTCAGCAGCCCGCTCTGGAGTGAACCGGCCCGCCCCCCCTAACTCTCAGGCCAGGGCTCCGGCCGCGGCTCCGGCTCCCGCTCCGGCTCGGCTGAGGATCCCACAAGCCCGGCAGCCGCGGCGGTGGCGGCGGCAGGCGGCATCCCAGGGTGATAGACCGGAGCAATCGAGGGCCGAGAGCCTGGCCGCGTGTGCAATCGAGTAACGACGCGGAGGAGGAACCGCTGCCAAAGTCAGGAAAAGTCGAGCACCGAGTTATTCATCTAACTCGATCCCGCCCACTTTCCTAAAGCCGTCTCCGGGACAGCAGAGCCGTGTGGTCTGGGTCTCCAGAGCTGCTGCTTGCTTTACAGACGGACTGAGGAGGCGGGGAGGAAAAGGGGTGCGGGAAATTTAAAAGGGAAGGAAAGGAACTTCCTTTTCTTCTCACCCGTTTCCTATTAATTAATTAATTTATTTATTTCTGGAACACTTCTTTCTTATTGGACCAAGAGACTGAAGAGACGGCTTCATTTTACAGTCACCCTAGAGGAAACGCCCCCGTCCTTCTCAGAAAGGAGAGTTGGCGGCGTGTCTGGCTGGGATTGTGGGATCTGTACAGGATCCGCGCTCTGCTCCGGGTCCGCACTGAAGCTGTCATCGGCTTAGAATAGCATGCTTAAGAAGTGCGGTGTGGATGGATGGACGGGCCTACCACATGAAATGCTCAGAAGCCCGATAGTATTAAGCAAACATGCTTTTTTTTTTTTCTTTTTTTTTCTTTTTTGCCTTTGATCTTCGTGCAGTATGTTGGCTTTTTTCTCTCTAATGATATCACTTGTGTTTTATTTTTGGTTTATTTGTAGAATGTCTCCCTCCTTGACCTTGACTTGACTTTTATGTACACCTAAGGTAGAATTCATCAGTTGAGATTTAAGAAATAATAGGCAAATAATAATAATTTCAAAACTGAACACTAAGCCGGGCGTGCTGGCACACGCCTGTAATTCTAGCACTGGGGAGGGCGTTGGGGGGGGGGAAGTTGCTGAGGCAGGAGGATTGTTGCGAGTTCGAGACCCGCCTGGGCTACAAAGTGAATTCAAGTGAGCCTGAACTGCATAGGGAGACCCTGTCTCAAAACGACGAAAAAAAAAAAGAAAAAGAAACTGAACACTAACAACTGAAGCCGTGCTTTGCGTGGCTGCTTAAAATGGAGCAGGATTTTTCCATAATTACTTGTTTGTGTAATACCCTTTCAGAGAGTCTTGCTTAGCGTTTCCCTCTCTCCCACTGCTCCTTACTTTGCATAATCAGACTGGTGTGCAAGGTACCTTTTTTTTTTTTCTAGTTTTGTAGTATATTGGTGTGTTACAGTTTATCAAGTGCTACAAGGATGGTTTTTGCAATTTTCTCCCGAATCTTGCTTTGAGTAATGGCGTTTCAAACAAGAAGTGTCCTAAGTGATAATCTCATCTTGCTTCTTGTTTCACAGGTGAAGAAACGGGAACAGGCAAGTTGCCCTGCAAATCAGTCGCCAGTACAGATAGATTTTTACTGTAACTTGATAATACTGATTACTTCAGTTTTTCCTTCAAGAATCCTTTGCGACTGAGTTTGTTGATCTGTTGCTTGGTGATATGTTGGAGGGATCTTTTCTAATATTTACAACCTTACTTGCTTACTACATAGTCAGTCTTCCAAGTCCAAACCATCCTATGCGCTTTTGTGGATTTAGTGTTGAAGCCAGGAAGCTACAGAGTTCAGCAGTGAGCCGAGCTAGAGCATTTTCATTTATAATAAACTACTGTTGATGTCTTGGTAATATAAATCAGAGAGTAAGTGAATAATGGGCATCAGATGTACAAATATGAGTTTCTCTTTATTAGTCAGTATATAAGGCATTTACCAAAACAATTATCTCAAAAAAAGCAGCATTAGCAGTAGTATAGGAAATACAGATTTTTCCCCCAAAACTTGTTCTCTCGGTGGCTTTACTGTATTTCTTGAGCTGAAGAAAAATCCTCTGCCAACCTCCAGTAATCTTATTTTCTTAGTGATTCTGTTTTCTTCTTCCTGACCACTAAATACTAAATACTACTCACTACTTCACCTCCCTATCTTGACCCCAGACAGCTGCATGTCATTATCTAATTACCAATGTGATATTATGTCTGTAATTTATATGATGTTCATAATTTTAAAAGAAAATATTTTCACCATCTGAATAATAATTCTGTGAGATAAGCATAACCAATATTTTTTAAACACCAGTTAGCCCATGAAAGAAATTGAAACATAGAATTCTATTAAGCAAACTACCTAAACACAGCTAGTTAGTAAACTGAGATTAAAATTCTAGTCTTCTAATTTTTTAATTTACCAATGAGGCTGGACTCTGGAAGGGTATTCTTCTTTAGCAGGTAGAGTTGTTCTGATATTTGTGAAACAAAAAATAAACATTTTATTGTTTTTTGCAATGTAAAAAAAAAAAGAAAAAATATTGAAGAACAAAACATGAAAGTTATAAACCAATTTTCATTGCTGGAAAGCAGTTAAGTCTATTTGCAATTATATCAGTGGTATCTCCATAAGGAAATCCCAAATTTTAATGTGAAGAAAACCAACCCCACTGTTTGCAGACAGTCCTTTATATATGAAGTAAAAGGAACTGACATCCTATTTAGCCCTCTTCCTTCTTGTTGTCTTTTTTTGTTGTTGCTGCTGTTGTTGTCTTTTTGAGACAGGATCTCGTTATGCAGTTCAGGCTGCCCTTGAGCTCACTTTGTAGCCCAGGCTGGTCTGGAACTTGCAGCAATCCTCCTGCCTCAGCCTCCCAGTTACAGGCATGCACCACCATGCCCGGCTACTCTTCCTTCTTGTTTCTCCCTTCTCTACAGCTTTGAACAATAATTTCTCAGGGTTGATGTACATATTTATTGACATTGGAACGCATAATCCCAAGAATCATACCCTAGATCCAAGACAATCAAAAATTGGGAAACTGGAGGACATAAATAAATTCCATAGTTAACAGTGCCAAAAAAAAAAAAAAAAAGCTGGCAACAGCCTGAGATTTCCAAAAAGGAACAGGTTTTGTTTGTAAGAGCACATTACTAATATAAAGAAGGTATGAGTAGTTGGAATCGTGACTGTCACAACTGACTGAGGACCAGATACATATCCAAGTTTCTCTATTCGTTTGTCAGGAAACAAACATATAAGAGGTTGCCTCTTCACAAATGCTGTTAACTACTTTCTTCTAGACCACATAGTCCCTTTAGACTACGTAAATACCACCTCTCTGCAGTTTATCTCCAAAAGAGTAATATGCAACTCTTAAACTGTGGCTCATCAGTCTTGACTTTTTTTTTTTTTTTTTTTTTTGGTTTTTCTCAGGTACCGGGAACTGAACTCACGACCTTGCGCTTGCCAGGCAGGCGCTTTGCCACTGAGCTAAATCCCCAGCCCCAGTCTTGACTTTCTATATTCTCTTTGCCCTTTGACACAGTGATGTATTATTAGTCTCCCAATATGGTCCATAGCAGGAAGAAATTAGACATTGCCCAAGATTCTGTTCTGTCTTCTTTCTTCCTTCGCTCTCCAATTACCTAGTGATCTATGCACTCCTGTGATTACACCTCTCAGTTGGAGAATGTTGACTTTGAGATACTCATCTCCAGCCCCATCCACAGTACTGAGGTCCAATCAGGAATTTTTAAATGTTGAACAAGTCTACCAGGATAGGCTTCCTGCACCTCACATTCAGTGCGTGAAAAATAACCCCTTCGTGTTCCCCTTCCCTTGCCCAAACACCTTTCCCTTCTTGAATTTCCTTTGTACGTTACTGGAACTAGTAGGTTCTATTTCAGACTTGCTTAAACAGACAGTTGCCTGTGAGTCCCCTCCTCCACCCTAGGCTGCATAGATCCAACCTTGTTTTCCATTCCTACTGATATCATCCTAGCTTGGACCTGGTTAGCTTTTACTAGCATTAGCTTATTAGCTATTCTCTTTTCCCTGAGGACTTTATCCTTCCAATTTATACTACTCTCTGTTGTAGCTGAATTATCCTAAAACACAGTTCAGATCAGGTAACATCACAAAAAACAGTTCTCTGTTGCCTGCATAAAATGCATTCTAACCTAAACTTAAAAGTGCCTCCTAAATATGTTCCTAAAGCAACATTGCCACCTCACTGCTTGCCTGTTTTCAGCGAACTGAAATGGACACTAAATATAGGTTGCACGTATTGCCCCTCGTCACTGCCTAATTTTTTTCTCCACCTAGCATGTCCTCTACTGCATTTCTGACTGCCAGAGACCAACCCCATCAAATGCCAGGATCCTCCATCAACTCATTCCCTGTCCTCCAAGTTGGCAGTGATCTCAGCTTTCCTATACCATTTGTTCCTGTCTCTCTTCTAGAATCAGCCACACTATATCTTGTGATGTTGTCTTCTGTACAATTCTGAATATCTGCTACTGGGTTATAAGCACCTTGAGGGCAAAGACCTTGCATTATTCCTGCTTATCACTCACAATGCCTTTCGTATATCAACCCTTCAATGAAACCAAAAGCCAAGGAAAAAGAGTTTAGACTAGAGGAAAAAGTAAACCTGGTTTTCTTCATAGATGTGTGGAGCTGCAGAAGAAACTAAAAATCAGTTCAATGAATCCAGTCAGGCAATGCTCATTTTCTATCCTGCACTTTAAAAATAAACATACCTTGCCAGGCATGATGACCAGCACCTGTAGCCCCAATTACTTGATCCTGAGATAGGAGATCGCTTAAGCCTATAAATTTTGAGACCAGAGTGGGCAACATAGTGAGACCTTGTCTCAACAGAAACAAATAAATGAATAAATAAATAATAAAACCTAGACCCAGGAATATGATGTGACTTGCCCAAGGTCACATAACTAGTGACAGAGAAAGAATTAGAACTCACATTTCAATCTCAGTTCATCAGCCCCATCAAAAGATTGATTTCTTCCCACCCTTTTCTGTGCTTCTCTAAATAGATATTTTTCTTGTTGATGAAGGTTTTCTCAGTAAAGTAATTTTATTCTTTTACATATTATTTAAGTTTAAAGCACTTATACCGCATTCCTGGCCCCACATATAATTTTAGCAAAATTATACTTTTTTTTTTTAAAACCAAAGGACCAAACAGCGACATCAGAGAAACATCTGGTCTGATTCATCAGGGTAGCAGCAACATTTCTATTTATACATGAGCACAGCCCTATCTTTGTAGCTCTCAGCTGTTGCTCATTGCTCAGTATGTTCCCCTTTTCAACCCTGTCTGTCCCTCATCAAGATAGCATCCTGCATCCTGAGTCCTAAGCAGAATCTAATGCAACCAAAAAAAGACATCTTCCTT